TCCTCTGCTTCCTTCACGCAGTTAGTTAGCTCTGCTTGTGTTCATCGTGTGTATCAGTACACCCAAAAGGAGGCTTCGCTACACTGGCTGTCATTTTTGTTCAGCCCTTTCTTAAATTGCCTAAGATACTGACCGACTACACCGTCTTCAAAAGGGTGTCTTTTAGTTGTCGAAGTTTATATTCGTCACGCAATATATTAGCTCCCCTTACCTTGGGAGGTAGGAAGCTTCGTGATTACCACAAAAAAAATTTTTTCTTTACGGTGCGGAAGGATGGGAACAGCTTAACAAGTCAAAGAGACAGAGAGAACGAGTTAATTCGAGCCAGAAAATCTGGTTCCCTATTACCCTAAGGCGAAAATAGTGATCTTACAGTTTCTGTAGGATGTGCTTGTAGCATGTAAACTACAATGATTACGTGAAGACATGGCGTACGTTTAAGGCTTTTTCATCGTCTTCAAAGGATTATTTCATTTCCCTCTGCAAATTGGATTCATAAATTAATCACTAAGACTCAATGTAGTAAAAAAAAAATGGCGGTCGGTAATGGCGATGAAAACACTTGCATGACATTGCATCGTTTGACTAATAATGTAATCACTTCCGATGTGGATCGCGACTTTTCGACTGCACACTGCGAGTCTTCACCTGAAGAGGCCTCGCCCATTTGTCCTGTCATTTTCGGTCTTTTTGTTGATATTTGATGGATGAGGTATTTCCTTGAGAGTTCCTTATCAACATATAAAAATTTAATACAGTTCACTTGTCCAATTAGCATTCCATTGACTATGGCTGCCAACTTTTCTTTGTTCATCTTTCTTTTGTCTTATTAGTATGAAATGTGTTGTGTTAAAACTTTCGTAAATGGCATTTAAAATGTTGAAGGTAGAAAAGGAGTGGTACCATCACTGATCCTTGCGGTACCATCTCGTTTTCTTGTTAGGCTCTCTGAGTTGACTGATTTATTTTTTCACAATTTAATTTCTCTTCGTTCTTTAATCTCTACACCATTGTTAAACAGTTCTTTGTGTTCACAGAATCCATGGTTTTTTGTATCAAATGCCTTGGCAAGATCTGGAAATTCACCAACACTATATTCATTGTCATCAATTGTCTGTAATATTAGTGTTACAAGCTGCTTTCCTGCCAAGTCAGTGGAATGTTTCTTACAAAAGCTGTATTGGCTATGTTTTCAATATATGTTACAGTTCTCTTACACACGTTTCTTTAAATTTTTACTAAAACACGGAAGAAAAGGAATCAGTTTATTAAATGAAAGTTTCTGCTTTTGATTTGTCTTTAAAAATAGGGATTATCAGAGTGATTCTCAATTTCATTTGGTATTAATTGAGTGAGAAAAGTTCGATTGAATGTTTCAGTGATAAATTTAACTATGGAAGTACTTATTTTCCAAACTACTTTGGTAATATTTCATCTCAGCCAGATACCCTCCTTGATTTCAACTGATTATTTTTAACTTCAAGCTTACTTTATCTGTTACTAAACGGCTGTGAATATATGAAAGTCATACTACTAGTTACTGTTTCTAAAGATAAAGATGTTTTTTATCTCTTACTTAGGTAAGAGTTAAAAATTGATGTTTTGCAATGGAATTTATTCGACCAAGCTTGGATTAACATTTAAAAATACTGATAGAGTTCATTCGTTTTTTGATTTGGTCGTGAAATTATTTACACTTCTTCCTTGAAACTATTTTGCTTTTCTAATTAAATTTTCTTACCTGTTGATGACCCAATGTCTTGTTAGGATAGCCTTACAGATCTATCCTTTTTGCCATTCAGCGTGAAATTGACGCGAGAACAAATAAAATTCCGCTAATATCCATTTTAACAAAGAGCACTTGTCCAAACAAACAACGAATTAAAAGGCAATTTGTCTACTTTGAATTTTGAAACAGTAAAATACAATATTCAAGCGTTTAACTGCCTATAGGGGTCCCACGGGGGCAAAACAAAGCTCTGGAGGTGAAGGGAACTTGAGAGCTGTTGGCTCTCATTCTAAGTAAGAGAATAGTCATATCGTTTATTGAGCTTCCCTCTGTCAAGTTGTGTAAATTATCGCGTATCGACATCAGTATTTTTCATAAAGCGTCCTCCAAAAGAAGTTTTAAAAAATTTTTATCTACCAAACATGTGGGTTACACCGCGCACCGCCAATTTTCACATCCTGTTCCGGGCTTCCGATCCAAAAAAACGACCTGTTAACGATCCTGTTTACGTGTACAATGTTTTGAGACTCCGAGACCCCAAAAAACCACACTCTGTGGGAAGTTACAGATGAGAGAGAATGTTCTCCTGAACGGGGTCGTATGCAGTTGACAGCTGCAAATTATAATTGGCTATCAAATGATGATCTTGCTGAAACTTGTCATGTGGAAAATTGGACGACTGAAAAGGTTATGAAAGGTATGTTCCATAATCAGTAAAAAATGTGTTTGTGATATCTTCTTGCTAATCTAGAACTTAATCCACCCCTGAAATATGTAGTAAAAAGAACATACAACAAATCAGGTACATTTTAAGTCAGAAATTGTTTCATATGGTAAATTTTGCCAAATGTAGTGTTCTTCAGTCGAAAAAAAGGACATTTCCTGACGCGGTAGATGAAACAAACGGACTAAGAAGACACTTGATATAATTCACACGGTCTTGAAACAAAAGGTCAGAACGAAAAACATAATTCTCCGAAAAAAATCATTGTATAGTTACACTTATTTCCGAATCTGACCAAAGCAACGTGAGATATTATTTTTTAATCGCTCGATTGTGTGGAGCTGGTGGGGTTTTTTTCCTCATTACGTCGTCAGCGGACCATTTGTTTGAAGGGAAATTTTATCTCCAGAACACTCTAGATGTATTCTGTTACGCTGTCTGTTATCCTCTCCAGGACAGTGGATTAGGAGAAGGTCACTCAACGTTACCTGTCGTATTGAGGTTTAACTGTACTACACTGAGGATATTGCTGGCTAAAAGGATCTTTTTGGGGACAGACAGTACCTTTATGCCTGTTTAGGGGTGTTTTGACTGATAGTAGCTGACGGAGACGTTTACTTCTATTTTTGACCTTGATTGTTTGGTCTTGATTCTTGACACGCGCTGTTTCTATTGATCAATAGACTACGAACGTCACGACTTAATTGGTAGTTTAGTATAGTATTTCGTTTATGTCTCTTCTCGCTTAAAATGACAAGTCGCCGACACTGCTAACATCCTGAACAAGGTGACCACGATAGAGACCAAGCCTTCCATGGCAGTACACAAGAGACGTCCAAGTGTGTTATGAAGATAGATCGAATGAGAGAGATACTCCAGGCAGCCTGGATTTCCTCAGACACCGTTTAGTTCACACATTTAAGAATAAAGAACGGAGTTGTACATATTTCGTCTCGCGATATTTGAAATTTCCGGTATTGGAAGTAAGCTTCCTTACTCCCCTTACAAACAAGCTGCGTTTGCGTTGTAATCAGTTTAACTTGAGCGATGATCAAGTTCCTCGTGTTACAATACACCTCACCAGGTTGTTTCCTTTTTTTTATATTCATTCTTTACCAAAACCGCAAAGTTAAAAGGGTAACATAATCACCATCTACAGTCAGAAGGTGTTAATGTTCTATAGAGCATGAATTTCTTGAATAATTTATCCATTTCCCGAAGATAAACACTCATTATATGAAATGCGCATTGCACCATACTTGACGAGACAGGGAATTACAAAAGTCTTTCCGGAGTTGGGCCTCCTAAACAAGCTCAGCTTGCTATGGAGCTAGAAATTCTTTAAGAAATGTGAATTAAAATTCCCAACAAACCTTCACGTGGGAAGAGTATACACGAGTGATATTCATGCGCAACACGGCAGGTTAAATGAGTCGAACTTCTTTGAGCGTCCAAGAGTATGGCGGGGGTAGACCATATTGATCCCAAAGTAAACTCTTACTCGATTGTACCTTTTCAATGGAAAATGATAGCGTAACATTATTACAACTCACCTATAAGAAGCACATTTCAAGCTGCTCACCGCAGTCGACTCTTGCGAACACACGACTGTAGATCTGGGTTTAGGTTTGAAATTGCAAGCGCTCCCAAAGCAATATTGCAAGCTTCTGGCCTAATTTACAAGGAGTCTTTCGTTTCACAGTTGCAGTTTCTAACGAAACACCGTTTGTTTCCTTGAAAAAACGACTGGATTAATCAGTGAACCACGACTGAAATTTTCGCGTGTTGTTGTTGCGAGTGATTTGCTCATAGTGGGAGGTGCTGGAGGTGCGCCAGAGTATCTGGCGACATTTCATCTATTGTTTATGCGCGGTTACGCCTCCGTTGCGCTAACTCGCGAGGTTCCCGCGAGGTTCTTGCGAGGGAAAACAAAATGGCTGAAACCCCTTGCGAAAAACTTTCTTCAGCACCTTTCTACGAAAAAGTCGGTGTTGCCGATCCGTCAGCGATCACTTCACTTGTTATATTAACGCTGTATGTAAATGGCTATCACAAAAAGGTATAAAAACGACTCCAAGACACTTGCTTTTCCCTTCTTCCTGGGTGAAAGCCTGTTATGTTGACACATAAGGGGGTAGAGTGGACTAGTTTGAAATAAAGGGAAAGTAATTGAAATATGTCTTGTGGAACTTTCATATCCAGCTTTTCATAGTAAACTTAGCTCTACCAATTTTCATTTGGTTAATTTATGTAATGACAGTGTTATGATGATTAACATTTGAGAGGGTGGTTATCTGGTGACTGACACTCAGTTAAACTTTACCTTTAGAGAATCAGACACACCCTGGATTAAATGTGTCATAAAATGCCCGCACACTCGAACTTTTTAATCTAAATGTTTTCAATGAACGACCAGGATCTAAAATCAGCACGATACGCACAGAGAAAAAAATTAACGTCAATTTAAGTGACGCTGCAATAGGTAACCGACCCACATGGCCGGATGTTTGAAGAACGACGGATGTACAGGGGTCGTAAATCAAGCGGTTTTCGTTTGATACTGTAACTAATTTTATTAAAAAAATAAGGATGAAATAGATATTTTTTACAAACCCTCACACAATTTCATACACTATGTAAACGCTCTTGATTGCTGAAGAAAATCATCGGGAAAACTGTTAAGCCACGAGTACAGGCTTATCTCGTTTACTCATGCAGCAGGATTCCACGAGAAGGACGCCGACAGCCACGTATTGTTTCACCTCCTTAGCGGATGTCAGCCCACAACAGAGTATCCCAACATGAGGTCAGCTTGCCTTCTTCATCGCCATCAATGATGCCTCCTGGATTGGGAAAATCGGCCTTTACGTTGGATATCTGCCTTCTTTTCAAAGAACGCAACATATATGCGAAAATAATGGTCTGAACTGATGGAGACTGTTCTGTTTGGAGTCCATATCACACAGTTATTACGCCTTTGATTTCCCAGTGTAATTTTCACCTTCTGCAAGAAATTTAGAAAAATTTTACTTTAGCGAGGTGTGGCTGTGTATAGTTCATGAAATGAATGGGAAATCAAGGTGATAAATTTGAGGCATGGATGAACTAAAGCACGCCACGTACGTGATAGGGATTATGAAGGAATGGCAGATTATCTATTGTAAACAACTCTAATTACTCAATGAGACACGCGCCATTATCAAACACATGGAAACATCAAGTTTTGAGAATTTACAAACGATCGAAATTTTTGTAAGGCAAATTTTATGATTTTCAAAACAAGTTTACCTTTTGATCAGGTTCAGGGTTTTTTCATGTTCGGGGTTTCATCAAGGGCAACTGTATCACAACCCCCTGAATACAGTTCCTTATTGACAGACAAGTTGTTGAAAGTTTTGAACTCAATCTACTAAGGACAGCTGTAATATTCGCATTGAAAGCAGTCTAAATAATGGACAAAAAATTAAGAAAAAATCTGCATGTTACGATCCGGATCAAAATCCAGGAAACTACACTGAATATAATTGATTCTAATCTAATCTAGGGCTAACGTTTCTCAAGACGACTGTATTTCGCTCCACTGGAATATTGTAATGACCTTTGCTATTGCAGTTAGTCAAAATGAGTTGTGAGTTGTTTTTGATTCGCTAGTACAGATGCTTGCAGGTTGGGAGTCCTCTTCAAGTGTTCAAATGTCTGATGCGGCTAGGAAATATAATCTCGATCTCTAATAAGATGGAATGCCAACCAAAACTGTGCTTCGACATTCTTCCCAAGTTTTGGTTGCGTTCTTTGGCACCAACTCGCGCTTATTTGTGAGGCAAAGTACCGTGAAATAAGTTTCTTGTCAAACAACACAGCTTAGAAAGGATTCAGTCAATTTCACATCTTTTTCTTCTACGCACTCTGCGAATTAATATACGAATTAATCGATTGCGATATCACCGGCCGTTAAAACTAAACACATGTTTACATTAATGTCTGGACCAAACAAGGCTAATTACTTAAGCTGTACTGAAAAAAGTCAGTTTTGCACGATCCTCAGCGTTAATAACACGACCACTACATTTACAACTATTAAAAAAACAACCCCATTACCATTTAAAACCAATACAAAATAACTACTACTGCTACTAGCACAACGATTACGCCATACTCACCTACACAACTGAGCTTTCTTTGCATGTTTTTCGTCCTTAAAGTTTTTCTCTGGTTCATGTAGATGGAAAGATACAACGACTCTATCCTCAAAATGTAGGCCTGTGGTTCAAAAACATATGGCCTGTGGTTCAAAAACATATGGCTTGAACACAGAAAGTCGAAGAAAAAAAATAATGAAGCACAAGATTAGTAGTCTTGGTGAATTGATAAGGATTGTTTCCAAGAGATAAGGATGAATTGCTCATTCAAATAAAACCTTGAGAGGCTTTATTTGCGAATGTACAAAGCGATGACTTTTGTTCCCCTTGCCCAGTGCGCTCACCTAAGTAAATTTGAAAGTGCAATTCAGTTTCTAGGCTTAGCACAACTTGGCAATTTTGCTATATTTCGTGTACTGTAACGATTGAGAGCACAAAACCTTTGTAATACGAGTTTCATTGGCTTTACATACGTCACGAGCTAGAGAGGAAATTTAACGAATTCCTTAAACAACAATACCGCTGTGATATCCCAAAGGAACATTGATCATCATATGCACCACACCCTCTCATCTGCATACAGCACCACACTCAGGAAATTCTAATCATGCTTTAGCTCAACTTCACGAAGTAAAGAACGGACACACCCAAACCATACTTACTAAAGCAAAGACACTTTCATAGAACGCATTGTAATCACACAATCTACTTTAACTACACAAGCTGCATCAACTTGGTGGGTGCTAACAACATGAAATGCAAAAAACCTTTGATTTCTATCATAGCAAACAAACAGCATCTAAATGAGCACCTGTTATTACCAATTGCCATATGAGGTAATTTATATTCAGAATGAACCACTTTAAGTTAAGAGTTTTATCCTTTATATAAAAGACCTCGAGAGGTTTGAATAGGGCTCTCTTTCATTTCCAAACTCTTGGACTGTGTGACAGAGGGAAACGGTTTTGAAAAGTTGTGTCGTCGGTGTAAAAAATTTCACACATAGCTTTATCTTTAAGAAACCTTTTTGCACCTTAAAAAGTATAATTGAAACTGCACACAATCCCTCGAGTGACAAACTATCGATTTAAATCCAAAACGAATCAATGGCTGCTTCATACGCTTTTGTGGCCGCCATATCAATAGCCGTGCCTAAGGAGGCTAACCTGGCGACTCCCACAGTTCTGTCAATTAATTAGCGGAAATATTTCTATGAATCACCCACGCATGAATAACATTCTAGAACAAAACCTTGACAGTTCCATTAATTAATCAAACTCCAAACTAGAGCTAAATTACTGAGTTATCAGATCAATTTTTTTTTCATTATTTTTGTTTACCAAGGCGCGCTTGATGCGATGGGAAAACCACGAATTCATGATTTAGGTTGAGAAAAGAAATTACTGGTAACGTAAACCATTCTGCTGAGTCACCAAAACAAACTAGACCTACCTTCTACACCAACAATGCCATGACATGATCACTTACTGCAGGGATTAACGTAGGCGATCTCATGCAGAGAGCCTAACACAAATTATACCATTTAGTGCACCAAGCTTCACCCTAACCTCAGTTAAACAAACAGCACCGAGCATGATTAAAAACCTGAGGTAAACTGACTTAGTCAGATCAGCTTCGCAATCTAGATCAATCTTCGTTGGCTGTAACAAAGTAAGGGAGGTGTATCAATTACAGTTACTATTAATATAAAAGAGTTAAAAAGATAACAGGAGCCACTTAAGTCGACATGCCAGATGCACTATTTACAGGACCCATTGTTACTTCGTCAAAATAGTTTCGCTAACACAATTTAAACCAACCGCAATCAAATAATTGTTGATCAATTCTACCAGACAATAAAAGGAATGAAATTGGCCACGACAAAATTATTTTTGTCTTTGTTGAATAAACTAGACAAGCCAAACAAGCAACAAAAACGCTTTAGCACGAGTTCACACCGCAGAAGATTTTCCCACTTTGCTTGTAGTTTTCAACAGAGGGGCATTCGGATTCTAAACTGTTTACACACAAAGGTAAATCCAGCTTCATTCCATACTGAAATTGGTTTTAACACGATTATTCATTTCGACTGTCATCCTAAAATAGTTTAAATGGATTCAAATGTCACAACCACGATCTTGGTTCGACATGTGATAACATGAAAATCCTTCAGTGAGCCATTTACTGTTCGTATTCTTTCCCAATAACACCTCAAACAATAATAAAGGGTTAAGTTCCCAAAAAGATAGAAAGGTTCTGTACCTTTGTACTTGTAGTGATATGATACATTATCACATAAAGTAAGTTAACAGAATTTTTAGAAAAAAATAGAAGACTTTAAAAGTATTGTTTCATGCATTTGAACGTAAGAGTTTACTTTAAAATGTAGATCCAAAATCTCCGTCATTGTGGCCAAACTGGAACGGATTGGTGAACGGGTTTGGATTGAACACGAATGCGGAAAAATCTCTACTGTTTATCTTGTCTAAGTATCGTGAACACATCAACCGAGCACAATGTAATTAACACGCCATCTAAGCAGTGAACTGACGCCAACGCGAAAGACCTCTGGAACGACAAATATTAGTAAATTAGGGTAATAATGTGTTGATAGTTTTACAAATCAGCTATGGAAACCCTTCTTTATTTACAATTATAAGCTAAAATGCATTCTTTCATTGCCCATCTATATCTGATCTAATTAAAACAATCCATCTGAATGCTATAAAAACATGAAAACATTAAGAACGCATGGCATGATAGATGTTAGTCTCAAATCGCGATCTACAAGTAGCTGTGGTGCAGATTCTGGAATCGCGCACGCATCCCAAGGTAAGAGGTGTATCTTATTAACTAAGAGCTACTAGTTAAACCAACTCTCGGTTTTATCCTAAAGAACTGATTCACTCCTGTCTTGAAATTGGTCTAACTTAAGTTAAAGCAGGTATTACATAACCAACATTCTCGTGAGTAACAACAGTTGCAGCAACGAATCAAGCGTTTTTCGTTCTAAGAAAATCCATATCGGACAAAGAGAAGGCAAAATACAAACAGCAAGATAGGCTTTACAGGATGATCGGAGTAAAAGCCGCAGATTATAACATGATCAGATTACGCAAATATTATGATTTTCTTTCTTTTTTTTCTGTTTTTTAAAAAAGTTAAGTATGGTATTCGAATATTGGATTATCAAACTTGCTTAAAAACAGTTAGCAAAACGAAGACCAGACAAGTCGTTATTCCAGCCTCCGCTCTACTCCCACGGTGGAAGCAAAAGGTGTGCCAAGTTTCTCGGAATTCTCGATGAAGATATGCTCAAAGGAATGGGGTTTCTTGTTGAAAACATTGACCATGATTGACCTTTACTTAACTTATGTTCACGTGTATTCAATTCATTTTAACCTGAAGGAAACATCCCAGCAAGTGGGAGAAAATTTCCTGCGAGTATGTTTTCAGAAGTTGATGGGAAGTGCTATGCATACGGATGTCCGTTGGCTTGTTTACCAAAACGCCACACCACAACCATTAATTCATAAATTATGACAACGTTGTGCAAGTCTATCTGTAGTGTTTAAGCTTATTTACACCATTTTGCGCAGAAAAGTTCGACACCTTACGCCATCTAGAGCCTAAACTCAACCCTCGACTGACCCGATGCATGAGTTTGGTGTCTCATTACTCAGCAAATTTTATATACAAAAGCCAAGTGGAGAGCAAATACCTTTTCTTTGAAGCGCTTAAGATTGCGCCAGAATTTCCCGTCCGATAGCAATCGAGCAGTCGTCATTATTTTGTTCAACTCCAACATTCCAGAACGTTTAATCAAAAACAACTGCCCATCTAGATGTTATTGTGTCGTTTTAAGAAACATTCAGTTTTCCACAAACAGAGCGGCAGTTACTAGCTTCTGACAACGCCGTAAGGATCAAAGTACAATGTTTGCCAGCACGTTTCCATGGCATGACGTGACGGCCCACACGTTTCCGTCTTACCGATATAAATCACCCAATTTTTTTTCCGGGTTCTATAACATGCACGCAACATGAAGTCAACAAGGTTGAATGGCTAAATTGACGATATCCAACCCAAATAAACGTTTGAATTGAATTCTTGCGTTTGCGAGAGTTTCGGCTGAAATTAGTACGATTTTGAAGTATGACGGTTGAAATCACACGCGACCATGTTGACGTCGTGACAAGCAATTACGGAACGTTTTTTCTTTGACACTTTTATATAAAAATATAATTGTTGACAAAAGTTAAAATCGATGTACTTGAAAGTCATTGCAAGCTTCTTCTTTTATTCGTTATTTGTCATTAAGAATATACCCACAGATTCAAATTGACCGTCAACTATAATATAATGACAAAGTTAACAGATTTCATAAAATCATTAAATACAATTTTGTACATTAAATGGCCGCTGTGAAAGGTTATCAATACTTGATACTGTTTAAGTTGCTTGGATTTTTCAAGACTTCCACTCTCCCAAAAAAAAAATAAATATACAGATCTTCATTATCTACGGTACAAGAATAACTTACAATAACCACAACCGTGGAAAATAATCACTGCACCGAGTCCCCTACCCGCAGTTATTATATTACATTCCTCTGAAGCATACCTATATACACAGACTGAACGTAATTTTTTAATGTGGTCTCTACACGAGGGTTTTACGACTTTTATGGAGGGAGAAATTATAAACGCATGGAAATATGCTACGTTAAATAAACGTGGATAACCAGGTATTGTGATGGAAAGTTCTTCATTTTCATTTGTGGAGGTCCATGGTATGAACCATGGGTCTTTTTTGATCAAACTAACAAATATATTGATCTCATTGAAATTCTAAGCGTTTTCCTACAATGCACTAAGAAATTCCATCGTGAAATTTAAAAAATAAAATGTTTAAAGCTACATTGAGCGTAATTAGTACTTTACTATTGACCTACAATTCAATCTATACTAATAAGGTTGAAAGGCACAACTGGTTATGAAAAAACGACAGATTTCTTTTCTCTGTTTTCTCTGCTTAAGTCATATTGTGTAAAGACACAGAAAAAAAATTAGTCACCATGAAGAACACCCAAGCTGAACTGTAGCACTATTTTTTTACCCTTGATTTTGCCGACTTTCATGACCAGTTTACTCTACCGTGTCTACGAGGAAGACATCGTCGATCGTCATGATTAATTCGCCTTCCACTACACCTCTACAGTTTTCCTAACTCAATTTAAGAACTCCTCAATTGGGAATACGGAGAAAATAAATATTATTTGTACTTTATTCCGAGCAAAAAAATTTTGCCCTGACAGCAACTCTTACTTGCTACGGTCTATTTTTTAAAAACTTGGAAGTCCTCATAAAGTTTGCCATTATACGCTCTCAGATTGATGCACTTCTGGAAAAAAAAGAGAAAGACATAAATTTAATCACTATAGTTTACTGACTTTTCAAATAGTATTGATATTCATTTCGTAGATAAACCGTAATACACTCCTGATCTTACTTATGATCAACCTTTACGTCCTTGTAATATCCTAGATCTTTCTTCAATGTTACTAATTCATCTTTCAGTTTACTTCTTTTACTTTTTTTTAATAGTCTGTATGTTGTTTGTTTTTGGTTGATGATGTGGATTTATTTTCATACTTGATATAAGTTAAGTTCATGATAATTTCCCTCTGTTCAAGCTTGTTTAAATAATTTACCTGAATCTCCCTGTCCAATTGGTTCAAAGTCTTGTTAAGTTGCGAAAACGTGAGTCGCTTATCCGGATCTTTATTCCAACAGGATCGCATGAGGTCGTACCTGAAAAAAATAACATGCGTCGTGGTTAGCAATTAGAGGCAGAACGCGAGATACTGAGGGCAGCTATGCCGGCCTGGGTCGACGGCCTTGGTCAAGTATCCGAGCAGTTTAGAAATTTTAGATAAACATTTCATCGAATAACAGGTTACCGAAATTAATACTCACAATTTATTGTGTACATGATTTGGTTTCTCCATTCTGTAGCCACTTTTTAACTTTCTTGTCAGCTCGGAAACGTTCACACCAGGATAAGGAGCACCACCTTAAAGGAGGCAAAAGACAAGAGATGAGTAAGGTAACCCTGCCTACGTGTAAACCCGCTCACAACGTCAGAGCAATTCACAGTTTCCACTGTATTGAATACAAAAAAAAATGATGC